TTAACTTTTAAATTAATTAATTACTACACTAGTCGTGTTGTATATATATATATATATATATATATATATATATATATATATATATACATATATATTATTCATACCTTCGGTGTAGAGGACGCAAGCACATTTTGATATCAAATTTTGGAATAAAAAAGTGCGTCTTATACACCGAAAAATACGGTAGATTACTGTAGTGTTAGTGACATCACCTTCCCTATACAAGACCTGCTACTGTGTGAATCTCTTTAGAACCACTGAAGTAGCATGGAAGGGTGGAAGATAATATTGGTTGGGCTTAGTATTGTAATATCTTAACATCTTGGTATTTATGTCGATACATCATATTGGGGGCTGGAATGCTAATTTCAAGGGCAGTTTTGTTGTTTCCCCCATTGATGTAATGTATTCTATTATTTCTTGCTGCTTTGTTTAACTTTTTTTTTTTCTTGTGATCAACCACCTTCCTACACCTGGCTGCAGACAGTGAAAGGTGGTAAAAAATGTTGGATGTTGTGGGCTAGAGCATCAACATCTGCTCAATTTTATTTTATTTTCTTAATCATGTGAGGCTGGCAAAGTTGAGGTTAAACTGGATAGATAGTGTAGCCCCAGTGCAATTTGGGTCTTCCTTCTACCAGTAACTCTAAAAAAACAGGGCACATTACATGATGACCCATCTAATGATTTGTGCCCAGGTTTTGGATGTTTGTATTGTGGCTGCAATTTTTTTTCTCTCTCGACCAAACGAAATTTCAAATTTTTTGTGACTAATATGATAATTACTGTTCTCTCCTACAAGATCTATAATTATATCAGCATTCCTTTATTATCTGTATCTAAAATTCTGTAAATACCATAAAATCTACTATTCTATCTTGCACAGTAACAATGTTGTTTTCTTACATCCTTAACTAAATTATATGGAAGAAAACCATGTGAAAAGGAGCAAATCCATCAAAGGAAACATAAGGTACTAATACAGGAACTCAACCTTCTACCTTGTCTCTACATAAACACAGTTTAAAGAAAGATAGGGATTACCAATAACAAAAATTGATGGTATAAATTAAAATTTAATAATAAGCAAATACAATTACAATGTGTAAAAATTATCTTACCAAGAAATTTACAAAAAAGTTCTTTACTCTGAATCAACAAATAATACAAAACGGAGGACAAGAGATTATCGTGAAAACTCTATATGATATTATCAATTAATAATGAAAACGAGTAAAGAACTGGTAATAACCAGCATAAAGTACATATTGACATAAAATATGTATACACTTTGTAAATGTTGTTTACAACATAAGTGTGAAATAGGTAACTATCTTCAAAATAGGAAACATTGTTCACAATGATATTTCAGTACACAATTTCTATGTCTAGTTAGAGTATTTTATACAATGTTTTTCACACATATTTTCAGTCTTCTATTATTAGGAAGGCAGGGAAGATTAGTGCTCAATAAGTAGAAATTATTTCACATTTTTGGCAAATATTTTAAAGTTTTACTCTCAGACTTTTTAAATATTACATTTAATACACTGAGTTTCATTAAGGTGTAAAATACTGTAGTTTCCTGCAATTTAGGTAACAATAACATAATTCAAACATAGTTTCTTATCTACATTTTTATTTACAAAACAAAATTCAATTAGCATTTTTTCCATGAAAAAATTCACTCTTATAAATATTAGTTTCAGTAAAATGTTCTATGATGCTTAAGGAAATTATTTCTAAAGACATTATTTAATCACCTATATAAATGAATAGTAAAAATCAAAATATTTCTCATAAAGTCTAATCATAGCACTTTTTTTCATTATTTTAGTGAAGAAAAAGGTTTTGCCAATACTTTTTAATGCAACAAAATATTTTAACTTTTATCAAGAGTTTAATATTTAAATTAACTAAATTTTTTATATGATACTACACCTGACTATCAGGCAGAATAGTTTTGGTGTTTACTTAAAATCCAATAGAATTTTTCATTTTAAAGAAGTGTAAAAAATATAATAATATGCTCATTTTTTAAAGTTTTTCTTCTTTAAAAAACATAGTTACACAATGTAAAATATTAAATGAGATAAAAAGAATTTTTTTTAAATGGCACAACCTAATTATATATATATATATATATATATAACTTTTCTTGTTTTTCTATAGGTAAACAATTTCTTATTGAACTGACATTGGATGTAATGACAAGTTTCAATGAACTTTTTTTTTACTGGAGCAGAATTGACAGAGTCCAACCAATTACACATATATATATATATTTTACTCTTCTGTTTCTCTATAGGTGAACAATTTCTTGTTGAACTGACATTGAAAGTATTGACAAGTTTCAATGAACTTTTTTTTAATTGGAGTAGAGTCCAAATACATATAAAAAATAGTACAAACAAGCTTCAGCGGAATCAACATCAATGATATATCCAATTTTGTAGCAATGTTTCACATCTGAACTCTGAAAAATAGAAAACACAAATAATTTCATAGGTACATTTAGCCATACAAGTGATCTTTCTGTTGAAAACAATCTACTAAAATAATGTTTTATGAAATTATGTATAACATGCAATTTCTGTTGTAATCTTAAGGCATTATTTTGCTTTGTTGTAATTGAAATAATTTCTCATTATTTTTTGTATTTGTATGTTGCAAATGCATCCAATAAGCATGCTCATTCACTTTATTAGATTTGAAATGAACTTTGTCATTAAACGAAATGCTTCATAATAGACAATCTATACTCTGCCAAGTTTCAATTAGATTTTTAGTGTTACAAGTCCTAAGCCTTACCAGTAAGTCACCAGGAGGGTGAGATAAGGAGGGGGGAAGCTTGAAATTGACTAATTAAACATGGTAGAACTATCATTAATTTTGTTTTACGTTCTTGAGGAATAACTTGCTCTAATTTTTAGAATATGTAATTAAGCTTAAGATGGATTAGGTTACTGGATAATCTTTATGAATGCTTAATGTGTATGGTTGTAAGTGTTTTGGAATCTCTATAAATTTGATGACTGTACATTTGTTTTTCAGCCTGACATTAAAGAAGCAGACCTCTCTACACTCCAGAAATAAGAAAAATTTTAAGACACATTTATAAAATTAAAAAAATAAGACTCTTGCAATATATCCTCAAGAAATCAAAAAGTATATTAATAGATAAACTTGACAAGAAATTAGATAAACAACAGAAAAAATTATATATACATGTTCATGTAATAGTAATTTTAACATCAAAAATTAAACACTGTTAGAAATGAGTGAATTATTAGCTGAATAAACAAATCATAGCTCTTGTATCCTTGTTAAAAAAAACACACCACCCTCTCTCCTTTATAGTGGATAATTTAAAACCAAGTCAATAACAGGTAATTTAATGACATTTGTGCCATGATGCATGTGATTCAGTAGTCATACTGAAATGACTTGTTTTATACCTCAGCTTTATCCTAAGGTAAGTTTCCTAAAATTCTATATCTTATCCACCAACAAATTTATATAAGACTGGAACAAGGTCTTTTGAAAGGAACTACAGCATTTTTTATGTGCGAGTTTTCAACCAAGTATTTCACACTTATTTGGATTGATATGATAGTTAGATTGTTTGATAGTGATTCATAATATATTAAGGTTCATTTGCTAATGTTTAATTTACACTTTTCAACTTTAAGTTAGTAATCATGCCTGTTAATGAGGGAGTAAGGAAAATTTTAGATTAACACTAATTGCTCATCTAGGTAGCAGAAATGAGTTTAATAAGCTCTATATTGAAATGTAGTGTACTTTCTGTTTATACAACTGTATGTTTGCAAGAAAAGTAAAATCGTTTTTTTCTTTTTCAAAACTATAAAAATATACACAACCGTCAAATAAACATGTTTAAAAATGTCAAAGTGTGCATGTCATGACTTTTACAGAGTTATATTCAAAATTTAATGGAACATTTTATTTCCAATGTATGCCAATAAAGGCAGTATCATAACAGTGTATAATTCAAATGTTAATATAATACAAGTTTTGATGTCTTAACCCTATCACCCCGGGTACCCTTTACTGTGCATGACACAAGGTTTTAGTGTCTTGCATTCAAGATTACATTAAACTACTCTTTGATTATGTTATACCAATTAGAATAGCATAAAATCTTAACTAATAATCCATATTTCAATAGTATACAAGTTTTAAGTTCTTACTTCTACAAGGCAATATTTAACAAAATCCTGAATTTCCACTAGTGTGATCCATGTGACATTTTTTTCTAAGCATGTAATCATCTTTATTTTATCCACCACCCCTTGAAAAAGTACAAAAATAAACGTAAAATACTCTCTATAAAAATTGTTATTGCTCAAACAAACCATAATTTTTATAGCCTTCAATTTTGTTTGGTTAAAAAGCTATCAAATAGAAAATCAGACCTCTCCTGTCACATCCTCTCTTTCACAATTATTGATAGTTCTCTTTTACGTTTCATTATATATTACCTATAACCAATAGAAAGTCAAGGTTTTCATTTACTAAATGAAGTATTGTATAATGTTATATTCTGAACAGTTAGAAGTCAATTTCACTCACAGTACAAGATTCGTTCCCATGGAAAAGTTAACGACTAGCTTGGATGAATTTGCAACGGCTCTTGTCGCACAGTTAGAAAGCCAGGAACATTTTGAGAGTTAGGGGAATTTGTCTACTTTTTGCCTGTTATTAGTCTATATTCTTTGGTACAATCGAGTGCAAAGAGGTCATGTGGTCAGTCAAATTGACCGAGCCCATGTTGAGAGAGTTAAGCTAAAAAGGGAATATTGAAATAAATTCTCAATCTTCATTTCTATGTGTCTTATGATGTTACTCTGCTCTGAATTCTCTGTTTAAGATTTTTTTTCTTCACTTATATGGTAGTTTCAGAATGTCCATCAATTAGATACATCAAATATAAATACTAACCTTGTTGAGGAACAGATGTAGTTAGATGCTGTGTAATGTAACCTGAAATTTTGCTTAACCTAAACAATACACACTCCTTCTGGGTGATTTATTGCTACCTGTAATAGTTTGACACAAGAGATCAATAAAATTAAATAAAACCGTTAAAAGTTTGAGGCTGTTTAGAATAAATAATTTTAATTTTTTGTTACAATATGCAGTTATTCCAGTAAGAAAAAAAAAAGAGGTTAACTTAGATTTATTTCATATTTGTTGGTGGTTCTTATAAGGCCAGTCAAATGGACCAAGCACATACAGTGTTAGGGTAAAGAAAAAAATAACAGATAAAATATAGTTTAACTGGAAAAAATAAACTTTTGATATTCATTCAGAATATTCTTGAGATTACATAAATAAAATATGAAAACTTTAAAATGAAAAAAAAAGTTTTCATTCTTAATATGAAAATCACAGTCTGAGTCAGGCTGACTAAAGTAAATTCTGAGACAAATCTTTAGCAGAAATACTTTACTAAAACTTCTGATTTTTGTGTACAACATACTTGTAATGTTTACAAAAAGCTTACCAAATTTCATGAAGATATATCAAGTAAATCTGGAATTACAAAATTTATAGTAAACATTAAATCTCCAGTATGGTCTTGGTCCAATGGCCTAACCCTGTGCACTTAAGGTTAAGCCTATAAACAAAGGTAATTAAATAGACACACTTTCCGATAAATATCTATGTGGCAAAGAAGCTACTGAAATACTTAATCAACCTTTAAATTCATACCTAAAATTACAAGAAGAATTTAATGTTTAAAATATAAAGAATTTTTTTTATCACCTACTTGAGACTGGTTTAGTTGACCTATTTCTGTATATGTTGTAAAACAATTCAAGATGCCCAGGCTGCAAGTTCTTTTATATCTTCATCTTCATCTTCTTGAATTTTGGCTTTCCCTATAAGTTCAATAACAATAAAATATTGTTTTGAGCATCATTAGTGAAAATATAATAAAAACTAAAATATTGTGAATTAGACTTTTTGTAACCATAAAGCTGCCTGAAATTTAATTTAGCTTCAGAACCAAAATAAAAAAATTGATGATTTTAGAGATATCAAATTTCAGTATTTTACAAATTTCTGCACATAATTTTCCTTACCCTTTATGGTTATCATATGCAAGTCCACTTTGAGTTACTTAATTCAGTTACTCACTTCACTCTTACTTTAAAACACATGAGTGTGTGTCATTTCAAAGCACCTGTTGTATAATTTGTTTTATTGCATTCCAAAAAAAAGTTTTTCCTAAGCCTAATTTCGTTTTTTATATAAAAACTACAATTTTCATAGATTTAATCTTCCTTCTTGGATGCATATTGCTGGTAAAATAAACCATGAAAATCGAGACAGTCAAAGAAACATTAACCCGTAAAGACAGCAATAAGGACACAACATTATATACTTTTTTTTTATCAGTATCTATTTGAATAAAGATGTCTACAACATTTAAGCTTTAGTGTTAAAACAATGCACCATACATCAGCTACAGGATCTAAAATTAAACAATAAAAACCAATAGTATAATTATGAGGTATACATTAGAGCAGATGTCAATGAAGCTCCATTCTTTATAGCTGTATGAAATGGAACAACAGATACAGCAACTAAGGAACAAATGCCCATCATTTCTTGGTCTATCAAGAGAGAGAGGAAAAAAAAGTTTTGAGAAATAGTCCTAAGATTTCAGAAACTAGAGACTACAAATCGGCAGAGAATTGGCAATACAACCAAAGAAACTCTTAAATAGTACTTTCTTGATTTATTAAAAACATGCAGTCAGACATGCGAGTTGTGAAGCCATAAGTGGACATACAAATGAAGCAAAAGTTTTCACATGGAAAGCAAAATGGTATATTCTTGATTTTCTGACCAAAGCTGTGCTGATGAGCCTTGAATAGGCAAAACTGCAGTCCACAGCAGAGGATACAGCAATCAAGAAATGCATTAAGTCTCTAAGTCACAGATTCTCTTTTCAATTTCACCTCTGGCAAAAAAATATAGGAAATCTTTAATATATATATATATATATATAATCCAACAGACTTGTCTCTACAATGTTCCAACCAAACATTTGTGCCTTGTTGTTGCAGATACTGTAGAAAAAAAATATTCTAAAACACAGTGGCATTATTAAAAATGTGACAATCTCTTTTTGATATCAATGGACCAAGCAACACAATACAAAAATTAAGTTTGATGATATATTCTCTTCTGCACTACATGATACAAAAATTAAGTTTGATGATATATTCTCTTCTGCACTACATGATACAAAAGTTACGTTTGATAATATGCTCTCTTCAGCACTACATCATACAAAAGTTAAGTTTGATGATATGCTCTCTTCAGCACTACATCATACAAAAGTTAAGTTTGATGATATGCTCTCTTCAGCACTACATGATACAAAAGTTAAGTTTGATGATATGCTCTCTTCAGCACTACATCATACAAAAGTTAAGTTTGATGATATGCTCTCTTCAGCACTACATGATACAAAAGTTAAGTTTGATGATATGCTCTCTTCAGCACTACAAATGAGAGAAGGTTGAACGTGCAGTTTGACACAGAAACTAGGTCTGTTGGTATCCTAAGCTGTACTACTACAAATAATAGCTTAGGAAAAGAAGCATGATACATTAATCAATTTTTCTGATATGCTACTTACAGTATTATAAATGATAAATCACTGTAAAAGCAGCTTGGAACAGCAGTAAATCTGATGATGTTATCTAAGGTACTGGAAACTGGAATAACAGTATACCACTACACAATTCACTAATCAAAAAAACTAAATTTTGTTTTACACAGTTTTAAAGAGTCTGTGTTGTTTATTATTCTGGTGCTACTAACTGAACATTTATTAGAAAATAAATCTTGCATGAAACACAAGTGACATACAGTAACATGATTATAACAGGTATTCCTTACTTGATGTACTAGGTTCAGTTTGTGGCGGGCTAGGTAGGTTCTCAGTTTCAGGTCCTACATCTAACAACTGTTTATCTAATTCTTCTTGTTCCAGTTCTTCTAATTCTTTAGACAATTCATCCTTGAAAAAGTTTTAAGAAAGATTTTCTTTCAATTAGGAGATTGGGATGCATAATAATTAAATGCTACAAAAAAAGTGTTCCAAAAATATTCAATACAGCCCATATTCTTCATAAATTAAATAGTTTCAGAATACAAAATTAATATGGTGTTCTACATACCAAACATATATAGTTTAAAAACACTATGCTTCCTACATTAAATATTCATGACATAAAACTATAACACACAGAATATTTTAATTATTAAAAAAAATACCTGAACTTTTCAATTAATTAATTAATTATATAATTCAGATTTTTTGTACATATGCTTGACATTTCTGAGATGTGTCACTCTTGGAATAATTAATGTACCTCATCAATATCATGGCCAAATCCTACAGGATTAGAAATAGCTTCAGATATCTCATTTGCAATTTCTTGTTGTTCCTGAACTTCATCCATAAGGTCATGAACTTTGTCTACATCCCTAAGTAGCAAAACAATGTACTTCAAAATACAGAAGAATAAGCCAAAGATTAATGTGTATGTTATAAGTAGACTGTCTTACAAATAAGCCTACAGTTGCATAAAAGTAATGTTCATAGGACAAAAGTTTCATACTTAGTGTATACATAATTACAAAAAAGCAAACATCTATTTTTAATTAAGTAACTTCATAATTATAGTGTATACATCATTACAAAAACCAAAATCTGTATATCTTTTACATGAATGTAACCCTCACAGTTATACACTCAATACAACTGAATGACATCTGTTTAACTACACATAAGTCCAGTTAAACATACATAAGAATGAGTTTGAAAATAGTTTCAAAAAAAGTGAACAAAGAAATTATATATCTTTAAAGTCCCAACACATGTAAATAAACATTGATATAGCAATAAATGAAGCCATAATATACTTAAATTAATGTACACATATAATTCAAAAGCTACAGTCATTGACTATACTAAACAGGGATCTGCTCATTACTGTATATGTTTTAAGAACCTTTTTAATTCTGTTCACAATCAGTTTCTGTGTAAATCAGTCAACATTAATACATTTAAATTATCAATGTATGTGTGTATGTATATATACATATGCATGTTCACCTACATTTCCTAAACTGGTACAAATCAAAACGATCAAAATAAACTTCTAAAGAAAAAGTTTTTACACAAACATTTTCTATTTTTTTCAAAAGAACAGACAAACAAAACTGAATACTATATGAAAATGAGACTATAAATTACACCAAATAATTATTGACTTAAAACTTGTAAAGACAAAATATTTATAATACACATAAATTAATCTAAATAATTACAATCCAATATTCATTGATAGACAAAGACTGTTTTGACTGATTGGAAAAAAAAAAAAAACTTAATATTTAGAGAAAATTATGATTATTTAACTTACATATCTTCATGAGCACCTTTCAGAGCTTTTGCTGCATGTCCCATTATTTTTAAAACTTCAGTATTAGTGCTTGCATTTTCAAGGGCTTCTCTTTGGAACTCTATTGTAGTCAGAGTTCCATCAATCTGCTGTAACTGTTTCTCAAACCTTTTCTTCCTTTTCAGAGCTTGAAGAGCAACTACATGTGAAAATATGTATTCTTACATACACAGCTTAAACCCCACTGAAATATTCATCACTTATTTGGGAAGTTGTGTACGAATATAAAAACATGTAACAGTGCTTCTTACGTTCAGAAAGATACACAAAACACCCGAGATAGATGCACTAATTCATTTAAAGCACTTTTTATATATTATTTTAAAGCTAACTAGAAATTGAAACTTCTTTTTCTATGGTCTATACAATACAAACTTTCAGGCCTGTTAGTTTCTTAAGTTACACAAGTACTGTTCATTAAACAAAAAAACACTCACTCAAAATCGCTCGCATTATTGCAGCCGCAAAAACCCCCATAGTTGACAATCGTACACACTTTATATTTTGTCTTATTTTTAAAAGTTTGAACAACAAACTTCTCTCGATCAATACATTAACTTCTAAACATTACTTGGATGTTTTAATGTAGAAATATTTATCTGATTAATACAAAAGTTCCTTCTGACAGTTATGAATATTGCTGAAAGCTCAAACTCATATTGCATCTAATTTCTTTGTATTGTGCTCTTCAAAAGTTCTGTAATTATTTCAAATTAATTCTGACCAACTTTTAGTTATCACTGTTTACAAATAAATAAAGTATTACTTTATTAATAGCTTCTCTTTCAGCCAAATTAACAATATAATTTTCTTATACTTCTTGATTTTCATGGTTTACTATTTGTACATTTTCTAAATACCCTTTCTGGATGATATACTCTATAATGAGCTGTTGTATTTTTTCTAATATTTTCTAAAACAGCTTCTAAAGTCGTTTTAAACATACAGTTCATAATGATAATATAAAAAGAAAACTAACGAGACATATTTCATAACAATCTGACATTCACTTACTTGATACCAGTAGATCTTAAGATCTCAAAATTTACAACCTGATTTAAATATGCAAATATTTACATGCAGAAGCATATCAAGCTTGCACATTTTTTTAAATTTTCAATGTAAAACCAAAACCTGTGGTTAAAGATATTATAGCTTGTTACAAAATAGTTTATTATTTATACATTGTTTCCAGCAATATTCATAAATGTTGAAAGGAACTTCTCCATATAAAAAAATTGAGTTTTTGAAATAAGGTGTAATATTTTCACCATAAAATATCCTGTAGTAATATTATCTATTCAAGGAAAAGATAAAAAAAAATGCTAAACTATAAATAGCAATTTTAATTCTTAAACTTAATAAAATTTTGTACTTTTCTTTCAGAATCTGCATTACAAATATGTCTTAACAATTTATTGTGAACATCAGCTTGAAACTTTACATATAGTATCCATTTTTAACAATTCCAACATTGTTATTATTTCAAGTAAGATATTTTAAGACTTCCACAATACTCTTTGTTAACTCCATCAATCAAGAAGGATTTTTTTGGGTTCAAAAACACATTGAAGTATGTGTTAACTGCATATATATATATATATATATATCGTACAAAATAATTTTCAATAAAATCAAGTTAACTGGGCTTAATGAAAACTATCAGATTAAACCTGGAAAACCATCACATGTATCAGTAATTTTTCATTTTTGTATGAGATTTATTTTCCTTACTGTTGGGCCTTTTAATCAATATAAATCAGAGCAAGGTTAAGTTTCAATGTGCTTTATGCAATGTATAATGACTCAGGTTTACATGACAGAACCCAAATAAGAAAAAAAATTACAATTTGTTTTACAAGTATCAGTGTCTTCCATAAGTGTAATACTATTGTGAACAATATGCTTTTCCATTTTTAGAAATTAAAATGCAAATCCTCTCAAGCCACTTGAAGTCAATATTAAATGTGTTAGAGGTCCCACAAGACAAACTTGTTTTTCATGTATACAAGTCTTAAATATTTACACACCACCTTAGATAGGTGAGCTCATATTACCAGGCTGTGCCTTGAAATACCAACTTACAAACCATTACAATATTAAAACAATTTTTAAAGTTAGACATTATACATTTACATAATGCTCATAACATATTTACTTTCATGAAAATATTATAACATCATATTTCACTGATGAATAAGTAAGACTATTATCGAATATTTTCATATTACAAATCTACAGATTGACTAAAATAGAATGTTGATGCTTGTCCATTCTTTTATGTGATTTTTGCTTCCAGTGGTTCAGTTGCTGAAAACCAGACCTATGTCTATATTGGTTAAAACATGTGTGCTTATTAAAGTTGAGAGATATATATAATTTTTATTCATAAAGCTAACTTGTTTATATTATTTTACTCCTGCTATCATTTGACGTGTCAACACCAAACACTCCTCCTTATTAATTAAATAATGATCAACAATGTACAAACATGTCTTTAGAAATTTCAACATTCTATTAGGAACATTTTTAGAAAAATAATTTAATATTAGTTTATGTGTATCAAAACTAGTACATGTGTGAAAATATTTCTCAATACTAATTAATACTAAATAATTTACACATGATGTAAAGTATACTTGTGGCTGTAACCATGTGTTTGTTTAGGAGACACGTTTCTTGCAGCCAGGAATGTAGTAAATTTCTGGATTCATTGCTAGTTAACCACTGTATAAACAAAAATATTAAGAAAGTTAGCTATTGAACAGGTGAGTGTATGTGTGTGTATGATGAATTTCACCCCTCTACAACTTGTATATAACCTACCTTTATTTAGCAACATTCAAGTAACATTTTTCTGCATTTCCATGCAACTTCTACATGTAGTTAATCACATTCTTTTTAAATGGATGTTGAAAGGTCATAAACACACACTAATATTTTCACTGAGGTAAAGCTGTATATGCCAATGGCTAGAAATTTGTATCCCTTTGGTCTTCTGTCTGAAACCACTGGCAAGGGGCAAGACCATCTCAGTGGGTGTTTCAGATACTCGTACAAATTGATATGAATTAGGGGGTTTTCATCCCTATAAATGATGTTTAGAATGATCCATGATCTGTGCAACAGTAGGTTCTGGCATATTTCTTCTAACATTTTGTCTGAATTTATAGTAGTGTATTAGAATCTGCAGATATTTTAAAGAGAGGCTCCTTTTGACCACATCAACCAATCAGTCACAACAGAAAACGATGAGATGCAAGTCCAGTAAGTAATATATATATCTGGCAACACAGTAATTGTGAATAAAGATTGTTTTTGTTGTGTGTGTGTGTGTGTGTGTGTTTTTCCTTTCTTTCTCAGGTAGAAATCATTCTCTGCAAGACATTTTCTAAATCTACATTTTTCAGGTAATTTGAAATTTTTCTTATTGATATTAATGAACCTGAAATCACAGGTGTAATGCTCCAATTATAAACCAGTGGCTTCAATAGCTTTTTCATTATCTATATGTCTTTTGGGAGTTGAATTCAAATATTTAACTTCTATTTGTTTGAACAAAATGAATGGAATCTGATAATTTTGCAGGAATAAACACTATTCATCATTTAAATATGACTATACATAACGCCATGACCTTTCAGCTTGAATTTGATAGCTGTCAAATTGAAGATGCCCCCGAACCATAAAATTAATACTTTGTCACATTTTCTACAATTAATTACATCAATTATTCATTTATTTACAACATTTTAGACAACAAAAAGTTGATTTATGTGTGAGTTTGCTAATTTCATTATAATTCAATTCATAGAGCTTCAAATATATTATTCACTGATTTTAAAAGCAGTAAGCTTGTGTTATGAATTGTTTGCATGTATATGTGAAACACCTGAACATTGATATTAAATATTCTTCAGTGCTATAAATATAGATTCCAAATAGATCTCATTCAAAGATGATAATAACATATGTAGCTCACCAGAAAAAACTATCATTTCAAATTGTATTGAGTTTGTTTTGCAACTGTAAGTCTACTGTTTTCATAAAAATAACTGGTAGTTTTTTACCAACATATTACTTGGTTACTAGTTAATAATTTAAAACTCTATCAGGTTTAAATCATATAAATTGTAGCATTGGTTTTCATGAAAAAAAACACTTAATTTCTTAATATTTAAATTCTTATATTTGGAAACAGATTTGAATAAAAAAGTAAACATTGAGCAGTGAGGTTTAGACTACTATCAAATATTAAACTTTTAATTAAAGAAAGTAACTATTATAAGTTAAGTCCCAACTTTAAATAATAACACAACTTTGCTGTAAATAAGTCTGTTTTGAATAACTTGTATAATTTTGCATGCAAAAAATATTGTTACAGCTGTTGCACTATCCTATTCCTTTTCTTTTAAAATTAATTTCATCCTTTTACTCTGTATTTTAATACCACTTATTATTCATACTATTATTCATAATTAAACTTTGATTTCCATTAAATGAATCTGTTGCTGAAACTATAGTATGTACGGAAACATTTTTTTTTACATTACATTCACTATTTTGGAAGCCATAATCATACATGGTATGATATGTACACAATGAAATCTAGATAACTTATAGTTCTAGAAAAGTTATTTTTATTATCATCTTGACCTGGCCTAACTATTTAATTATGATCATTTGAAGATATATTATTAAATAAAACATTGTTTGTTTGCAACTGAGCCACAATAATATTTAAAGTTCAACAATAACAAATCATGTTAAAATAGCTGATCAAATACATTAAACCTAACTATTAGGCATATTCATACTTCTAACAATTAAAGTTCACTCTTGAAAAAACATAATAAATTTACAGTTTTACTTCATGAAAAAAGCTATCAGATGTGATGCCAAATTAGCAAGTCACTTCCTGTACTTTTTATCAAGTTTGAAACTTACTATAAGACAGTAATAAAATTTTACTGTAAACTTATCAAAGACAAGTTATAGAAAACAAAGATAAATGTAAAATCATTGTTGAATAAAAATGAAGTTAAACTTGCTTTCATAACCACGAAAAATATTCTTGAAAATTTCTGATTTGGTGAGAAACAAATACCTACCAGAAGGTTGTACCTGGCAAGTGTTTTTATTTTAAGAAATTACACTGGAGCCATTATAAACAAATTACCCTAACCTTTAGAAGCTAACAGAATAAAATACTTTGTTTCTATAAATAAACAACACAATAGTTATACAAATATGTACAAACATTGTCTTAAAAACACTTCTAAACTTAGTTTTAATAGTTAATACCAATTTCTTTTTTGAAGTAAATGTATTAAATCTAGGCTAGTCATAGATGAAATAATCAAAATATAAAGTGGTTAAGAACTGAGAAAAGGGAATTAAACCCTATTACATGCTACACCATCATATTTACCTCTCTTATTTTTTGTTCCATTTTTTTTTGCTATATTAAGTTCTTGTTCCACTTTCTTCTCCAAATAATCCTGTTTTTTTATTAGCATCTCTTCAACTTCTCTTAATTTCTGTACTGCTTCAGCAGGAGTTGGAGTTTTCTGGTCTGATTTGCCGCCTCCAAATATTCTTGAAAAAAAGCTCATCTTGACCTAAAACTACATAAATTTTGTTGATCTTTTTATTGCTTTTAAAGACAATATATTTAAAGTATTGTTACTTATGGGTCATTACTGTAAATGGATAACTTACAATAAACTCCATAAACTGTCTCTCATCTGAGGTCGTACTCTTGAAAGAGCTTAGAAGTTTATGATTATATATACATATAATTATGAAGAAAAACCTATTATTTTTATAGATTTTACTTAAAAAGCATTGTTTTAAGCCATTGAACTTTTACAACTAATGTACAGAAAAAAAACAAAAAACAAGAAGTTTGCAAAGAGGTTTCCAATGTTCACATATTAATAAACTCCACAATAAATTCCTGAAAAATAAAAACATTACTGATATGTTGGTGAAATGTAATTTTGATCAATTCTATTTATGTCACCACACACATCAGAATTAGTGTAAAGATTTTTTAACACTACATTTATTTTAACAGTTTAACAATATATTCTACCAATTATTATTTTTCTTGAATTAACCTGCTCATTATTCAGAAGGAATGGCAAACTAGAAAGCTAGTCTTCTGATCCCAGAGCAGGTCAAGTAACCAATGCACCAACAGAAGAGTACATTAGCAAAAATAAATAAATTTTAAGAATAAAGAAGTTTGTATAAAAATAACTTAACCACACTATCTATTATATCCAGTACTGACGAGGCCTACTGCCCAATACCATGACTTTTCAGACCAGCTGGGATATGAAAGACATTGTAGTGTCTGAGACATTTACATTAGCAAACTGCAACAACTGTTATGGTGTGAACTAGATAAAGTTGGTGAAATTTTTTTGAAAATGAACTCAAAAAGGCATGTTTTTTTATTTTATTTTTGATAGCCTATACTTATATATTAGTGAAGCAAAATTTATTTTATTATACTTCTACACAAATATGACAAGAAATGGTTTATCTGTATTAACTGAGGCAAGTATTTTTTGAAACATGTAGGGGTGCACGAGTTATCTGAGGCACACTGCCATCTCTGAACCAAACCCTTAACAGTAAGGTAGTATTTTTTCTGAGTTCAGGAGACCAAATTTTCCAAGTGAGGTCTAGATAATGACTTAAAATTTCCTTATCCCAATTCTGATGTGGTGTGACATAAATTGATTAAAAATTACTGTCTTACGCAAAAGGGATTAAGGGGATAGGTTAAGGTAACTAACTCTTCTCTTAAAAAAAAGGGGGGAGGGCAATTTGGAGTTTATCACAATTATCTAGGATATCCATATGATAAAAGCCTCTGATCTCTTTGAGCTAAGTTCTGAAGATAACAAGAGGAAACAAGCTTAAGATTTGAAAAAGATAAGCTAGTCGCTGGTTAAGAAAACATTATATTTTGTAAATAGGGTAATTAGATTATATAATGAGCAGCTGTTCACAACAGTAGAAGCCAACAACTTACAAAGGTTCAACAAGGGAATTTTTGATTTACTGAAAAGTAAAGGATAATTTTAATTTTTGGTTTTCTTTTTCTTGGTGCTGGATGTGCAGGGACAGACCCAAGTTATCCCTTCCTGTCTGTATGTTATCTACTGGGATAAAATTTGATATATCACAAATTTAGCAAATTATAATTTTCTAAAAGAAGGTACTTTTGACGGTTTTCAGGTTCTTTTGATGGTCTATTTTCTTAATTAATTAGGCTTATTTTATATCTATTTGATTAAAATTTGATACATCACAAATTAGGCAAATGATAATTTTTTTCAAAGAAGATACTTTTGACAATTTTCAGGTTCTCTTGATGGTCTATTTTCTTAATTAATTAGGCTTATTTTAATTAGCAACAGCTTAGATATTTTAGCAGGGTAGAATAGTTTTTGTATATAGTTCTTTTCCTACAAATTATTTATTTATTTAATCATATATATTAAACTTCCATATGAGCTTAAAATAAACCTGAAATGTTTCAACAAATTTGTATTTTCGATTACTCCAACTACCAGCTCTACTATATACATGACCATTGTGGAACATAATCAGTTGCAACTAGGTAAAACTACACACTAATCAAACTTCATCTACTATAACCTAATCTAACATAATATGACCAAATGTGACATAACATAAATATGTATAAAATAAAGTACACCTATCTCTACTGATCCAGGTTCTTTGTGCAACCAAGCAAACATAGAAAACTATGCAAATCATGTAAGAAAAAAGTTCAATTTCATCTCATAAAAAAAAAAGATTCCAAATGCAAGCTCTGGGAGTTTAAAACTATTGTCTTGGAATATTACAACACCAAGATCTATTATGTAGTGTGAAATGTGAATATGTATGAACACAAAGCAATCAAAGCATATATATATACACACAATGTATTCCTGTCACATATATAGCTCTAACTGTTAAGTACTAATAGTTGCACAACTGTCATGTCCAAATATGGAAGGTAGTGACTATAGACATGACATATGCTTTCATGATGTGATAATACTAAGAACCTGCAAGTGAAAGTAAAGAATGTATAACAATATGGCAACCATAATGTACCTTCTATATAAATTATAATCCAGTGCTAACGAGGTGTTTTGTCCAATATCAGGTCTCAGTAATATACTATCAGTATCACAAAATGAGAAGATTACATTATAATTTATATATATATACCTATTTTTAGTACAAAGGTCATCAATGATATAAAAATTACTTACCTAAATTTTAGAACTTAGTGTTTATAGTCAGTTACTTATACACCTGTAAATACAACTTTACAAGTTTAACAGTCGCATGACTCGTACGTAGTTGTATCATCATGACATAAGTGTATGACTAATACTATAGTAATAGTATAGTGTAATAGTAATACTGATATTAATAGCCTTTACTGTCATTGTCAGTAATGTTATGCACAAATTTATAAACATAGAAAACAAGCTAAACTGTTGTACCTCAAATCTTATATGTTAAAAAAAAGATCCCAATCTACAAATTTTTAATGAGCAATAAATGCAAGTTGCATCACTGATAGGTCTAACCTAGGCTTAAGTGACTAAAGCCTTTTAGTTTTAATTTGAAGTGAAGGAGTGCTAGACTTTTTAAGTTTTACGCTTTCAACTGTGTCATTAGTTAATATATATATATATATAATTACCCCTTTACAAGATTTTCTCTTGAGAAGTGAATGGTATTTTGATAGCCTCAATCTAACTTCAAAGACTTTGCAATAAATTTTCACTAAAAATTAAATCTAGAAATTGTTATTTAATGTAACTCCGAAGTTAACAACACTAACTCCACGCCTCATAAGACATTTGTGCACATGCGCTTACATCACTGGATTTGAAAATCTCATAAAAAAAACACAAATAATTATTAAAAACACGGTAATACCAAAAAAACGCCTCTAATTATGAACGTTTCGGAATTGCTCCAAATTCCATCATCAGCATTGAAACCTCAAAAAGTTAGTTACCAATATTCTAACTACAAAAAACAACATTATCTGTTAAACGAGTAATTATTTAAGCAATAAAAAGTTTAGAAAGAAAGAATTTATACGGTGACAATATAATAGAACGTACGATAAACGTGCGACCAGATGTGTAATAATATTGTTAAAAGAAAACATTTTAAATACAAGTATAAACACTGCATTTTTAAAATAACACTAATAATGATGATAATCATCAAATAAAAACATTGGAAATCTGGATCTGATCACATTAATTACAAAAAAGGGAAGAGGTGATTTTATCATTCAGTGTCAGGTGATCAATGAAAATGGAAAGGCTTTCTTTAATAAAGAATTCGTAATCTGTGGTCCCGGAGACGAGAATTTAAAGGTTTTAAAGTATAGGGTGGTTGTTATTCTCAGATACAAAACTCAGTTGGATTAGTTAGCTTATACCTGCTTTTAGCGTAAATTCCCATGTGCTCGTGTGCGCGTATTTGTGCATTTGTATATAACCCATGAGCGCATAGGGATGGGCAGAGTGCCTTTGGTTTTTAACAACTTTTTAATTCTAAATACTGACATACTAAACGAAGCTTTATTTGTCGGTAATATGTCTTGATTATTTTTTGAATTTGATATTTGAGTTTAAAACTTTGTTTGTCTATGAAAGAAGTGATAACAACTAGTGGATACTTCGAGACAGTGTGTGGCTTCTTAGTAGGTTCTATTTTATTTGTTAATTAACAATGTTCGTGTGATAAGGTGTAAAAAATTATAAGGTGGCCATTTCTTTGTATTACATTATGAATTACATTAGAACAGACTAGAGTTGCCAGGAAAAGTCAAGATCCTTTGAGAATCTCATGACGTGTTAACAGGGTCACGCTATCGTAACAATACGTTTTGTTTAGAAGATTTAGAACAAGGTTACGTTTGAAGCAGTTTGGCGTGAAACTGTCGAATACTTTTTCCTTTGCTAAAAAAATATCTAAGTTTTCCAATGCAAACCAAGTGGTCACGGCCAACTTTGGTACTCAGTCCTTATTCACTAACATCCCACTTGAGGTAACAATTAAAATAATTATTTAACTGTTATTTCCAACCAAAGATTCCTTGCACCATAACTTTAACTCGAAGACAAGATAACAAAAACATAGAACAAAATATCAATATTGTTACATCTCTGGTCGTTAGTTAGTTTTCCGTAAAAATTCTTTCCGAAGAAACTTTAGCGATACAAGTCCTTTCTTAAATAAAACTGGTTTATTTTTTCTGAATACAACTTCGCAATACACTTAATTTCCACAGTCACGCTATAACAAACGCTATAATTCACAACTAACGACTCACGTGCTCGACTCAATCGTCAATCTCTGTCTGCAGTTCAATTACCTTACATTGTTG